AGTTCCTGGGTTGTCAAACTGGGCTTTCGAACATGCTTGTGGAACACGCCAGTTTGCGGCGCCCAACCTGTCAATGCGAACCCTTTTACCACATCATCGATAACGGCTACGTCAGAGTATGCAAGGTCAATCAAGATCTCCTTCCACAACAAGAGCCGTTTACCCATTAGGATGGGGACCAAGTGTGGCGCAAGGGAATCATGCAACTTCTGCTCGCTCTCTTTCAGCTCCAAGGATCTCTTAAGCCATTTCTTCATGAAGGCTGCACGCTTTTGGAAACGAACAGAGCAAGGTTGATGCACCAAATTCAAAAGCAGGTCCCGCTCGGCGTCCCGTATGTTTGCAATGATGTCTCTAGGGTGACCCTTGTTCAAGGCTTCTTGTATAAACTCACTGGGTTCCCTAGGGATGCCAATGTTCACTACTTCACATTGCCCATCCGTGCCACACCTCTCGTCAACGACAACAGTGCGTGATTTCTGTGCCATGTCATCCCGATTCCACCCCCACTGCTGAAGAACCCGATGACAAATGCGAGCTCCCTTGGGGAGTGTACGAAGAGTTTGCTCCAAAAATTCGGACCTATCAGGCAAGGTTACCACCGTTGCGTAACCCGAGAACTCAGAGACCAACGGCCTGAGACGACGACCTCTAGGTTGCGTTGTAAACAGCTGGCGTTTTGCACTGACATTGGTGTGGTCCAACTGTTGGTGCAAGTCAGTGGGAAAAATGAAGCCCGCCTTTTTGGCCTCTGTCCTCAAGATGTATGCAACGCGCTCACACAGCAAGTGCGGATAAGCGGTTTCATCTGCTGTTGGGAAAATTCGTTTCCCTGAGGCATCCACATAGGGTTTCCAGGGCGCGTGTTGGTGTTGTTTGTTACACTTCAGTGCCAAGCTCGCGAACAAATCCCTCTGCGGATCACGCGGGTTGAAGCTATACCAAGCAGTGTCTTTATCACGCTTTCCCCCGTGCATGCAATGGTGAAAAGTGCAAACATGGTAGGTTGGCAACTTACCCAACAAATGCTTTAAGAAGGAAGTCTTCCACAGCAAAGAGTTGCGAGGGTTTTCAATGCTGATGCTGACTCCCAATTCCACCAAAACAAAAATAAGCTGCGACATCGCTGCATAACTTCTGTTAGCCTCTGACACCCTTTGATGCTCCGACTCCGACAAGTTGGGTAGGCCATCTGGATGAGCATCACTCCTCAAAGGCTTTGGAGCGGTTTTGAAACCTGGAATTGGCCGTTCTCTTGCACGCGAAGCAGTACCACAGCTTGGAGCAAAGTGTGCATGCAAGATGGCACTTCTCTCTTTTTCCAGATAAGTGCGCAAATTCAAGAACTGTTCTTCATTCGTAATGTCACAAATGTACACCGGAAAGTTTTCTGAACGGCCTGGGTCCTTGTCAATCGCAGTGCACCTGAAGTCAAGCGAATGGCAAGCTTTCGAGAGTCGACAACTTCCTGAAAAAAACTTCCACGAACAAGCAATCGGTTCGGGCTGAATCGTTGTACAAGTCATGCATAGCCGGCTCAATGAGCTCCTGCACAGCCAGTCCATTGTCCTGTCTCGCAGAAGCCGGCCCTTGTGATGAGCAAAAAGTGGGTGAAAACAACTGCCCTGCTTCATTCCGTTTTGTTTCATCGTTGCAGGGCTCATGGCGAGATAGTCAAGATGATTCTTGACAGTTTGCAGCCCCGTGGCCCGTCTTCAAGCAACGCATGCATACATGAAAACCGAACCTACAGCGGCCCTTCTTGACTTCATTACTGCACCCTTGTTTGAGGTTTCTCTTCCAACAAATTGGTTTTCCATCTTTCGTCTTCAAGTGCAGTCCGATCAGTTCGGATGGTAACTGGCTAGGCGAACGCTGGGCACCCGGCTTGGGCTGCTTCTGCTTCTTCGCGGGCGGGTTGGACACCTTGTCACCTTCTTGCTGAATGCTACGTTTCTCACCTCTAGCAGTTGGGGTTAAATGAATATTGATGCGAGGGTCGTTCATCAACCTTTGAATGACTGCATCGAGAGGTGGCGGATCACCAACGTTTGCCCCCTTGAGCGAACCATCAAATTCGGCTGCTATGGTTAGGAATAGCTCCTGATCAGCACGAAGCAACTGCTGCAAGGTGATGCTATTAAACCCTGGGACTGCTTCAGACATGAGTGCTCTAAAGAGTTTGTTGACCCATTCCATATGCACTGGCCAAGACACAAGATTGACTAAGTCAAACGCAAGTCCCCGGCGCTGAAGGGCGTACATCAATTTCATCTCCGTCCCAATGTCCACAGAGACCAGGGCATCTGAGGCTGTGGCCTTGATAGTTCCTTGCTCCAAAGTCAATAGCTGCTTCTGCTTGTTCTTTGCTTCTGACTGGATTTCAGCATCTCGCGAGCCACACTTCGAAGGTGGCAGGTAAACAACTGCACCGGTCTCAAGAATGTTGAAAGCTGCATCAATCAAAGCATGAGAGGCCTGCTGCTCGTGTCTATGACTGATTCCAGTGATGCGTGTTTGCTGAGCTCTCAACCTCCTCTGCTTCTCGATGAAGGGCAATGTCTTGCCAGGCTCTGTCACATCACCTGCGGTTACCTGCCTCTTGAGATCGGCAACAACTAAAGTTACGGCTTCAAAATGCAAACGCTTCACCTTCGAAACCTGTGCCAGAGTGGCAGCTACTAGGAAAATCCTATCTGCGAATCGCTGCATAGCCTCATCTGTTGGGGCTGTCTGAGGGGCTCCAACAGCGTATGCAAGTGAAGCGAAAGTGACAATGCCAGCATTACTCATTGTATCATATAAATTCGGATCCAGCTCTTTGCAGCGTTTCTCAAACGCAGCTTCTGAGTCGACTAGGGCCATGGCGATGCTAAGCAACCTGAAGCAGGCTATCTACCTGTTGTATGGCATGCTTCCATACTATGTTTGGTATTCCCGTGGATCCGATTTTGTGTGCTGCTTTCTAGCCATGTTCCAACTACCGTTGGTGTTTCTCAATGCTTTGAGCTGATCCGCACTGAACCCTGGCTGTTTCCAAGGTCCTGGATCCAAGACAAAACATACTCCAAACAAGTAAAATTTCAACGAAAAGGGTGTTAAATTTAAGACCCTTTTTGCGGCATTCCAAGGTGACTCAAACAGAACAAGAAATCTTAGAATTTTCTTTTCTCTCGCTCGAGACACCGGCTGGGTTTCCAACAATGGAACCCTGCCCTTCATGGCCCATGATTGGCTCGGCACATGTTAGTGCCCTAGATCACCAAAAACGGCTACACTTCATACTCTACTTTCTTTTTCCAGCATGGGTGACATAGTGGAGTGTCAAACCTCACCTCCTCCACCACGCCGTATCTTTCTGGCACTGCTTTGCGACCACACAACAAGATGAGCTGGTGCTCCTTCTCCATGCAATGCAAAGTTCGAAGCTTCGTATGCTGCACAAGCTTCAAAGAGTCCGGCACGGTAGGAACACGCAGCGGTCTCCTGGCCCCACTGAGGACAGCGGCACTCTCATCTGAGCTTGTGGATGTATCCGGCGCCTCTGATGATGCATTGTCCTCCTCTTCCCTCTTCGGGCTGTCAGGGTCGACCTCAATGATTTCGGTAGACTCTCGGTTCTGGTTGGTCACCTCAACTTCTCGTGGTTTGTTACCAGGCTCACTGGCTTCGACCCATTCATCAAAGAGTGACAAAGGTGCTGACGGGAAGGATTCGTCCATGTGGCAACCCTCCAGAACCACGTCCCTGAATCTTCCGCTCCTGGTCTCATCTGGGCGGAAACGGCCAACACGCACATCATTGAGCAGCGCCTCCAGGACTCGCAAAGGTCTGGCCATGGCTTCACGACTGTAAGTGATAGTCGACTTGATAAAGGACACGTGCCCACCAAGCACTTGCCTATCCTCCCAAAGGTCACCATGTTTGGACAGCCAACTCAACAATGTGCACTTGCAGCTGTGGGAAGTGATCCTCCGGTCGGTCAGGTCGATCTCACACCGAGCCAACAACATACGGGTCCAGCTCTTCATCTCATCTGTCGTCAACGGCCGTCGACTCGGACTGTTGTCTGCGTTCGGAGCCGGCATGGTTGGGAAGTTGTCGTCAAAACAGATCCCTAGTTGCTCACGCACTTCAACCCAAACTGCCGCCCAATTGTGATCTGCAATTCCGTAAGCAGGGCAAATGGCCGGCAGAAAAGAGTTTCTGAATG